TCCTTCAGATGAGACTGTAAAAACAGAGGTCCCAGTAAGTGCTGGCATGAAAAACATCCCTCACTGCTCAAAGGCCATAAGTGCCGAGTATAGTCAGAATTTGTAGCCCTGCACTGGCAAGTGAAGGCATCTCCATATAAGTGAAAAATTCATGAGAGTGATGTTAAACAACAATAAGTCCTTGTTCAAATCGCATATACTGTATAAACTCACCTATAAGTAGATTGATTTTTGGGAGTTAAACTTTGGTCCAAAACTCTTCATCCAACTTATACCATGTTATACGTGAGTTATAAAAAAAAATGATTTTTGCAGGTCAATCCCTCTAAATAATTCAACCTTAAAAAATACAACCGTTTTCTATGCAATTATATACAGTATGAGAAATTATTTTACCTTTATAACAAACTAGAACAACTACATTCCATAAATTCATATTTTATTAGATGCTGATGTACACCTCCTTGAAAGCAGACATGTTTAGAGTAGTGGACTCAACTATTCAGAGATTTCCATTAACATATGTCAACAACTGGACACCAGCAGTGATTTCAAGAACTGACCAGTTATTAATGACACTGATGAAATTGAAGCTAAACTCTCCCAATTTAGATTTAGCTGAGAGGTTCAATACAAGTAAGACAACAGTGCAAAATATTGTGGTTACACATATTTTTGCTTTGCATGAGGTGTTCTTTGAGGGCATGATTGAAAATAACATTCCCTCCCTCTTAAAGTGCAAGTCCTCTATGCCGACAAGTTTTGGTGATTTTAATTGTTGCCGTCTTGTGATCGATGCGACAGAGGTGACCCAAGACGTTCCAGGGCAGGATATGTTAGCACAGTCTCAAACTTATAGCTCATATAAAAACAGGCACACCGTAAAATCTGTTACAGGCGTTGCCCCTAACGGAGCTGTGGTATATGTAAGCAAACTTTACCCAGGAAGTACATCTGATGTGGCCATTGTTGAACACAGTAAAATGCTCTGCCAGTTGAAACCAGGGGATATGATTCTGGCTGATAAAGGTTTTACTATTCACTCTCTCCTTCCAGCAGGTGTGCATCTCAACATCCCTCCTTTCTTGAAAGACAAAGGACAATACACTCCTGCCGAAGTGCAACTGTGCAGAAAAATTGCCAGATCTCGTATCCATGTAGAGCGGGTAAATGAAAGAATTAAGAACTTTGAGATATTATCTCACATTCCTCACAAGTTTAGACATTTAAGCACGAAAATTTTTCAAGTATGTTCTATACTAGTCAATTTTCAAGATCCAATGATTGCAGAGATTGCAGATAATTACATTCAGGCTCAAGATTTAGACACTCATTAATATATGATATAAGAATGTAGAGGTGGAGCAAATGTAATTTATTTCATGAGAGGTTCCAAGTATTTGTAATTGTGTTCAGCTTTAACATATATTTCTTTTATGATATTCATACCCTAAATTGATATTGTAAATGTAAGTGTAACAAAGTTTTGACAAACCCAACCTTGCTTCAAGTAGAGTGCTATGTATAAGTGCCAGGAAAATAAAGGTTGTATTATATGTATCATAAATCTTGTAAACAACTTTGAAAAGAGCATTTTAAGGTAAATAGTATGTTGTCATTGACCTTTACAAAGATTCTTTGAAAATACTCCATTTATCATTATTTTTTGCAAAAAAGCATGTATATTTTAAATTCTATAATATCATGAAAGCTAGCAAATTTTACATATGTTATAGTAAATTTCTATTCTTTATCCATTTTTTTTAATACATTGAGTCATTAGTCTCTTTGGATAATGGAACAGTACAATTGTTATGAAATAATTCTTTGACAAAATGATGTCCAATATTTACATGGAATATGTGAAATACCAAAAAATGTAGTTCCATATTGTACATAAAATTTACATGTATTTTTTCATCACTTCGTCTCTTGTTTACTTGCATATTAGGCAAAAAAAAAATTAATTTCTTGGTTCTCAGGCCCTCCCTCATCTCTTCCAAGGGTGCCTCATTGACCCTTTCTAATGCTAAATCAATAAAATATAAACACCAAATCACCTCCCTCATCATTTTTTGAGGATTTGTACAATGTAAAAAGCTGCCTCGTCATGTTTTGGGGGCAATAAAAAAGAAAAAAAAAATGCCTCCCTCCCTCATCATATTTCTTGAAAAAAGGCCTGAGAACCAAGTAATTAACTTTGCATGGCCTTACATGTATTCGACTAGATAAAAAAAAGCATATACAGTCAAAAATTTATTACACAGTTTATGATATATATATATTTAAAAAGACATTTGAACAGAATACTTAACTTATTTCTTCTACAGTTCTGAAAGAAATCTTTCACTGTATTAAAAAATTATATTGTGTATTTTTAAGTGGTAAGAAATACTAAGAACAACCTGAAATACACTACAAGCAAAAATCAATCAATACAATATAAAACTCAAGAAATAATTATTCATGATTATGTGTAATGATGAGAAAACTTTCAGAAATAATTCAGAAAACAAAGTATAACTTCTGTTGTTGGTTTCCAGCTTTACCCCGAGTACATATGTATAACAATAAGATTCCTTATAAATAGTGCCTCATGATTACTGAAAATAAGCGGTTCAAGTCAAGTCCCAAAATATTCAATGTAGCAGGTATACAAGTCTGACATTGCCCTACAACTCACTGTATTATTACATAAACATATAACATATTTGTATGTGTATAAATTGGGATTACTGGTAATCACTAATCAAAAACTTCAATTTAAGTCACTCATAAAAAACCTACCGTATATCAGTACAAATATACAAAATTGCCTATATGATGTCATACTAACCAAATGTCAGTCCTGAACAATATTTGGGATTATTTTACAAAAGTAAAAATCGATGAGTTTTGACATATTTGGGGTCCAGGTGCTGTCCTGAAGAATTCTCACAATAGCTATGTCTTTCGTAGTCCACACTACAAAGTCACATGATGACCTGTTAAGTATGTGCAGCTGTCCTTGCACCTGATCGTAATATCTGTGGCCCTCCTTTAACTTGTAGAACTTCCTTCCTTCATATATTTGGTAGTCTGAGACATGAAATAATAAACTTTGTATTAAATATGTACCATTCCTTAAACAAGATTTCAGATTTTGCGGAAATTGTACCTTAAAACTAAAACCTACCCAAGCAAAAGTCTTTGACAGATTCTATGTCCTCGGGAATTGACATATTCCTTGCACTAAATGGGCACTTCACCTCCAAAACTTCTGGTTTAACAGCCATGCACTCAAGTAGGTCTGTTAATTCTACATCCTGGTAGTTGTAATTGTGTGTCGCTGCGCGTCGAATAATTCCATCAGGGCTGGCTCCCAATATGCCACTCTCATGCAGCCATACACCTGTAATAAATATGTTTGGTGTTTTTCACGTTCAATTCCAATATTTAAAATTGTTTAAATTAATTCTTGTCCTTTAAGATGTTTGAAACCTGTGGGCTATATTATAAATTACACATAAGCACATGCACTTACCAGTTTCTTCTACAATAGCATCTCCAAATGAACAGTATTTTGTCCTAGCAGTTGACTCATTACTGATCCCCCATAATATGGCATCCTTTGTCGAGAGATTGTATGAGGAAAAGATTTGCTTATATAATGATGGTGGGAATCTGAAAAATATATCAATAGTTCCTCAGTTGAAAGTAAATTATATACTTAACTTGAACAAGGTAATATACCTGTATAAGATACGTTAACTTTACTTTTGGATGAGAAAAAAAGTACTACCTCTGTCTTCTTATTGCCGATAGTACCACACCAAAATTTGATGCCGTTAATCGATTTTTTTTAACCAAAGCCCAAAGATAATTTGTTCGTTGACCACATGTCATTTGTGCCACCTGCAAAATAATATAGTTGGTACTACATGTATTAATATAGTTTAAAAAATATTTTGTGTAAAAATGATATATGGATGATATTCATAATTTTCAATTTAATATTTATTTTTAATGTCACATATATTTTTTTTTTCTTTTTGAAGACATGTCAAGTACAATATTTACAAAATGTAATCCCCTCTCTTGAAAGTTAATCAGTTGAAATATGAGTGTTGTGCCATCATTATTAAAAAATTGATTTGTATACTCTGACCCACATTTTTCAAAATGGGTTTGTATTTACTGATGTGTGCATTATACACTTGACATCTAGACATATTCATTACTGTTTCAATCTTAAAATATCTTAAGGAAGTGATTCATTTTACATTTAAAATAATGATTAGGTGATCTGGCCAATCCGTATTTTCAACAGAGACTAAAAGAAAGGAATAAAATCAAAGTACACCCCCCCCCCCAAAAAAAAATAATAAAGAATGGGTGGGGACTGATTCAAAGTATTTATAATTCATAATAATTCTAGAGTATACTTATATAAATGTCCTACTTGTTCTGTCTGCTGCTTCGATACACGGAGGTTTGTTTTAAGCCACTGCACTTTATTGGTCGCACTTGTGTAACCTTCCGTTAACAGAAGATCCTCTACGCATGGAACATCCACTTTGGGAGCAGGGGGTTCTTCAGAAACTATCCATTGCATGGCTAACAATTTGAATAGAATTAATAAATTATAAATGTATGAATGATTGAAATGAGTATATTTTATTAATCTAAAATGATACAGTAGTTATGGTTTGATTTTAATAATAAAATGGGTTATACTTAATTAGTCTATCAAATAACAATACTTTAACATTTTCTCAATATACAGTATATGCAAACACTTTCAATGGATATCTCGTACACTTTGCTTTCAATATGCAGGAAAGTCTGATAGTGCTCAACTTCATTTCAACAAAAACTGAATGAAAATATTTTGTTAGTCTGGTCACATAACAAAATAAGGAAACATGTATAAACATTTTCAATTAAACAAAGAACAAAACATGTTTCAACATTTTTTTTTTCAAATCAAGACCTGAAAATCGACCAAGGTCATTCAGCTTTTCCATGGTCATCGTTTTCTTTGGGGGTCCACTCTTTGGGTGTTTTATCCAAGATTCTCTTACATCCGTCTTACTAACATTCTTGTACCTAAATTAAGATGAATAACATTTATAAAATGCACAGGTACTTGGGTCGTGGTTTATAAATATTTATAATGTACCTTATTGATATGTAAAAAAAGTATTTTACATATCAATAAGGTACATTATAAATATTTATAAACCACGACCCAAGTACCTGTGATAAAATGAAGGAAAAAATCATTTATATTTTTTATTGTATTAAAAAAATGCATACCCATATAACAGAAGAGAAGCTTTGTGGTGACACTTATCCTGGCCATTAACACAGTCACAGATACTGTCTTCCACAGTGTAATTATCCCCAAGTGTGATCTAAATGCAACACGAAATATTGAAAATAATGTCGTTTATGTACTTATATATTATTATTATAAAATATAAAACAATTTGATACATACGTTAATATGATAGCTTCTATCCCTCATGCTGGCTTGCACCCTTCCCTGGACGTGTCTCAGCCCAGGATCGTACAGGAATTTAAGTACGTGTTCAGATTTCACAGCCACTTCAGACTTCTGGTGTAGCTTTTTAGTCCCGGATACAAAATTCAACCAATACAGAATGGACAATGCCATTCTGTATCATTCTGTATCACTAAAAACAAGAAATCTATATTGCCTATGTATATGCGCGGATTTGTTTATCTCCAGAGGTTCAATTCACGCCAAATCTCGCACTTCCGCTTTCTCGCCCTATTGATATTTAGACAGAATTATTTTTAGAAACTTCTTGAATATAATGTTGCCGGTTGTTTTGCATTTCTGGGAAAAATTTACTAGTTCTTTATCTAGTTCTTTATCTAGTTCTTTATTTGTTGCACAGAGAAGTATGATCGTTGGAGGAGAAGGGATTGGAGAGATATTTGGATGATCTTAATTTTGCACGCCACTGAAATGTCTCATTATCAAGATTGGTGTGAAAAATCAATTCTTCACTGGAGTTCCTGATGTTAATTTGGGATTTCATGTTCTTTTTTATCTACAATGCAATATGTTTTGTTTATATATACTGTATCATATATTCTTAATTTATTGTTCAACAGGCTAAAGAACTCCATCTAACAAGTAAAAGTGAAATATTAGTTATTGTTAAATCACCGTCTGGAAAAATGTCCACGTATGCCACGCCTTTCTTTGAAGATGTTAGTATAGGGGCTTGTCTTCCGGATTGTTAAATGTAAAATAAATTTTTAAAATTTTGAATCTTCTTAAAATACACTTAAAAGTTGTTAAAATAAAGATCCTGACACTTTCAGGCAAGAAAAACCACGTTTAAAAAAGACGTACCACACCTATATACATAAACTCTATGAGGGACGCAAGCTCCCATCTTGGAAAAAATACCCCCGCCCACTTCAGCGCCTATTTCTGGACTCTAAACCATTAATTTATTTCGGTATCATGGCTCTGTCCCCTACAGTGATGATTTTCCTAAATGTTGATGCGATTGTCAGTCGTGAACACGCGTTTAATCAACAGTAAACGGATACAATTTCTTCGATTTGAGCTCATCGGAAGTTGACAAAATTGCATGGGCAGATAATGATTGTATAGGGAAAACTCAGAGGGTAATCGAAAGCGAATGGTAACACCCAAGGATTTCCAGCTTCGCGGAGAAAAATGTTTACCGACAAGAAAAAGACAGTGAAAAATGATAAATACGGGCTAAAGTTTGGTTTCACAGGCTAAATTGTCATTGGGAAGACTCATTTAACATATAAGTAATTTGTTACATAATTTAAAAGCGCGCTATATGCTATACCACGATTATCGCCCTTGCGTCGTTACCATGCAACCATGTCAACTTCCGTTCTTTTTGGGTCGATTCAGCGAGATGAGCTCAAATCGAAGAAATTGTATCCGTTTACTGTTGATTAAACGCGTGTTCACGACTGACAATCGCATCAACATTTAGGAAAATCATCACTGTAAGGGGACAGAGCCATGATACCGAAATAAATTAATGGTTTAGAGTCCAAAAATAGGCGCTGAAGTGGGCGGGGGTATTTTTTCCAAGATGGGAGCTTGCGTCCCTTATAGAGTTTATGTATATAGGTGTGGTACGTCTTTTCTAAACATGGTTTTTCTTGCCTGAAAGTGTCAGGATCTTTATTTTAACAACTGTTAAGTGTATTTAAAGAAGATTCAAAATTTTTAAAATTTATATTACATTTAACAATCCGGAAGACAAGCCCCTATGGATGTTAGTATATAATGGAATACACAAATCTCATTCAATGATATTTATTAATTTAAAGAATTGGTTGAATGAATTTTTTCCGCCTTTTTTTTCGTTAAAGACAAGCATTCATGATATATTTCAGCACATTCATCGATTCATAAAATTTCCCCCTCTAACGTTTCTAGCGCACCACCCCCTGTCAGAACAAATTCTATATCCTCCTCTTCCTCTGTTACTACGACTTGCTCGTCTTCTACCTCTGCTGAACTTATCTCCACCCCACATTGTTCTACCCAGTCAATACCTCCCATACTTTCCTCAAATGCACCCTTCCCAGAACCTTCACTTTCCTCTCCCTCTCCTACTTTTCCATCTCAACCTACTTTTCTCCCCTCTAAAACTAACAATGAATCAGGAGGAAAGGGAAACAGATCAGATGGATATCAGATTTCAAAGAAAAGAGAAGGGTTGGCACGATGTTATGCAAGAGCAAGTGCACGCAGACTGAAAGAATTACTAGTAAAGTACCCGACACTTGCAATGTTTTTTGACCACACAGACACGTGGACATTGGGATGTGACCGTGCCATGTGTGGGTATTGGGTCCATGACGAATGTATGGGGTTTTATTTTTCGTCAAACAGTATTGTTAAGCAAACAAAGTTTAGGTGTCCTGTACACAGATGAACAACTATTTCATGTCTGTAATAAAAGTTCCTACTATGTTTTAAATACTTTTTTTTCTTTTATTCATGTTTATTATACCAATATGTTTGTAAAATACTTGCATCTTCTAGTGTATCCAGTTTCTGCAACATTGCACCCAGTGTTTCTCCTTTGGTGCACCACTGGGAAGCCAGCTTTTAGCCTGTCTATTTTTGGCCTCCAATATAAAATCACAACCCTCTCCTTTGCTTTCATTTCCAGATTCTAAATATTTATACGGTCGGGAAAAAATTCTCTTAAACCCAAGGAAACAGAAAAAATATAGATATCCTACATAGGATAACAAAAAGAAAAAGTGGTTAGAAATTTTATGTTAATTCTATCCACGGTTCATTCAAGGGTGTACGGGTTTTTACCCATGCATTGACGTATTGCACAAATTCTTTATTGTTCACCTTCATGGTGTATAGAATACTAATAAATGCTGGAGCAAATCCCTGTACATCATTCATTAAACCTGGATAACTAATTAATGTTATGTAATGAAATCATTTTTTTAAAACCTAGTTCAAAAATGGGTGTTTCAAACTGTGCATATTTTCTTCATGCATTTAATGCATGTTGACGTCGTTATTTGTGACGTCACATTTTTTTAACTAATCAAGTCGGCTGTAGGGAAATTTACACCCACCATCAAACCAATCAAATCTCGTCTCACAAGATAGGCAGGAAATAAAGTTAGTATTTAAGTGCGTCATTTTGCATTATTGTGCAGTTGAGGTTAGGGCATGCTGTCTTAAGCTTACGAGAGAAGGAGTCGTGCTCCTGGATGAATTGGAGGACTTCAGTTGGTGCACAGACTAGTACTCTCATAATGATGCATAGCATTTCAATTTGTTGGTACTTGTTTTGGACACACCAAAATTAAGGGAGAAAACTTCATTCTGGAGGCCATAATGACGTTGCTGTTATTACGTCTTATCCCACCTCTGAACATGTACACTGCTAGTACATACGTGAAAATGGACTCCAGCATGTACTTTGGATCCTTTACGTCTTTACACCAGGCGTAAAAGCCTTTCCCAGAAGGTTCCATTACCTTTTCCTAGCAATGATAGATGCAGGGGAACAACAATTCACCCCCCTATGGATAGGAAATGCTTAGAGGTATAGATTTATTTGAAAAAAAGAAAATAAATGTTTATGTATATTAATTTTGTTTATTTTATTAAAATGATGAACACTTCTCTTAACAGACCTGTTAAAACCAGAAGTCTCTGTCGAGACTGTAGCTCTACTGGTTTATACTTAAAACAAAGGAAGAGAAAAGTAGCAGTTGGGACTTGAGACTTTAAAACAGTAATAAGTAAAAAAAAGTGATCCTTGCCACTTATCAAACAAAAAACCTATGCATAGAATTATGTTATCTTAGTATAGTCTACTTGTGTGCCAAGTTATAATGAAATCGGACCAAAAGTATAGAAAGAGTAGCATTTTGAAAGAATTTCACAGAAATTTCTATTTATAGTAACCATGGCAACACAGTTCATCAAAATCAAAAACCGATGCACAGAATTATGTATCTTAGTGTAGTCTACTTGTGTGCAAAGTTATATTGAAATCAGACCAAAAACTGTAGGAGGAGTAGCATTTTGAAAGAATTTCACAGAAATTTCTATTTTTAGTAACCACAGCAACACCGTTCATTGAAATCAAAAACCGATGCACAGAATTATGTATCTTAGTGTAGTCTACTTGTGTGCCAAGTTATATTGAAATCGGACCAAGACTGTAGGAGGAGTAGCATTTTGAAAGAATTTCACAAAAATTTCTATTTTTAGTAACCACGGCAACACAGTTTATCGAAATCAAAAACCGATGCACAGAATTATGTACCTTAGTGTAGTCTACTTTTGTGTCAAGTTATATTAAAATCAGACCAAAACTGTAGGAGGAGTAGCATTTTGAAAGAATTTCACAGAAATTTCTATTTCTAGTAACCACAGCAACACCGATCAATGAAATCAAAAACCGATGCACAGAATTATGTATCTTAATATAGTCTACTTGTGTGCAAAGTTATATTGAAATCGGACCAAAACTGTAGGAGGAGTAGCATTTTGAAAGAATTTCACAGAAATTTCTATTTTTAGTAACCACAGCAACACCGATCAATGAAATCAAAAACCGATGCACAGAATTATGTATCTTAATATAGTCTACTTGTGTGCCAAGTTATATTGAAATCGGACCAAAACTGTAGGAGGAGTAGCATTTTGAAAAATTGTTTACAGACAGACAGACAGACAGACAGACGGACGGACGACGGACGCATTACTATCGCATAAGCTCTTCTGGTCTCTGACCAGTAGAGCTAAAAAGAAGAATTTCAATGAACTGCATGCATGGCCTTGTGGTTATCGTTGGCAGGACTGCAGTGCTTTTGGTGATCTATAATCTAATAGTTTTGCCAAATCTACCCCCAATTACTTATCATAATAGCTTTATGACAGCTGTAATATATGTAATAAAATTGAATGAATTTTGTTATATTTTATATAATTATATATGTATAAAATTTAATAAAATTCATTCAATTTTATTTCACGAAAGAGACAGTACCTGTGGACATATTAATTTCAACATGCCCCAGTCCAGTTTGAAGGAATAAATCTTGAAGATGGGGGTTATCTTTTTAATAGTTCTGTGAGACAGAAGGAA